TTTAGAAAAACCTCTAAAAGTTAAATTCAGAATAATAACTATTCCCCCACTCCTTTCCATCTTCTAAAATTCTGCCTTTTCTAAAAGGACTAGTTGTTCCCTGAGCAGAAGTAACTCAAAGAGGCCTCCACATGAGCGAAGACAGTTAAGATTGAAGTTCAGTTTCCTAAAAAATGACATAAGACTTAGACTATGGAAGCCTGTAATGTATAAAAGATAAATAATAATGTTACATTAAACAGTCATTAGATAAAATCTGTGTATAGCTATAAACTTCTAGGCTAGAGAGTCATGCCAATTTGTGTTCTTGCTCTGTCTTGTTGAATGAATCTTCAAGTACACCATGTAAAATCAACTAGCTTCAACAGGAGTGTGAGAGATTTCCCTTGGGCTCCTCATCCTATAATAGCCTACATCCTGGTGGGCAGGGCACGCCTTGGGGAAGTGAGAAATATAGATTTGAATTCCCTCACCAAGAAGAAGCAAATGGGCCTCTTACAGCTTTAGTGCTGTAGACAGCAGCTACTAGATAAAAGAGAGCAGTAGCACCTCCTCCTTCAGCTGTTCTTTGAAGGAAAAGCCAGCTCCATTTTGTGCGGAGTCTGATCCATTAAGTGTGAACTAAGTATGCTCTGGGTAAGCCTACTAGGGCTGTGTGAACCTTTGGTCCCTGATTTGATTCGGTGGAGATTCAGCCCAATTCGGTGGCCAAATCTCTGAATCTGAATTGAATCCGGAGACCCTTTAATCTCTCTGAATCAAATCGGAGCCCTCTGAATCAATTCGGAGAGAGTCGGAAAAATTCAGAGATTTGGACATATGCACAGCTTTAAATGTTTTTTCTACATACCTCAAGGTACCAGGTGGCTTGTGAACGCTGAGAAGCTGGGGCAGATGGAGCATCCCACAGGAGCGCAGGGGGCTCTCCAGTGTGCTTGGTAGCAGACCTAGAAGTGGAACAGAAGCACTTCCGGGTCCACCGGGAAGCATGTGGGGGGTCACCTCATGCCCCCCTGGCTTGGCTACTGGTGACTCTTGGGTCTGACCCAGGGTTCCCCCATGGCCAATCGCCAAGCTGGGAGGGCACAGAGGGCATGGGGAAGCCTCCTGCGTACTCCCCAGCAGACCCAGAGGTGGACCGGAAGCCATGTCTGGTACCTTAAGGTATGTAGAAAAAACATTTAAAGCTGTGTCTATGGCCGAATCGCTGATTCTCCAAATCAGCATCAAATCTTCAGATTCAGATTTGGCTGAATCAAATCAGGGACAGTGATCTGAATCAACGAATCAAATCACTGTCCCTGCTTCAGGCCGAATCCAAATCCGAATCGAATGCGGCTCATTTCACACACCCCTAATGCCTACCAGTACGAGACCCTCCCGCAAGATAGATAGAGGAATGCGTAGTTTGTGGATCCTGACTGGCCCTAGTATGAACTAGGTGCTGAGCTAGTCAGCACTGTCAAATACAGAGGTGTTTCTGGATAGAGTTTCAGGCACCTGAAGAACTTTGATATAAAACATTTAGGCACTTCTGTGATTAGGTAACAGTTTGAATTGGCATATTTTGAGCATCACAGTTTTGGACTTAATTGCCTAAATCCCATCAATGGTCTACAATAGGTGCCTTAGTCCTTTTATAGAGACAGGGCAAAAACCCTTACAGTTTTCCTATTCTTTACTTTCTAACAACTATTTTTGAGTGCTTGCCTTCTCCACAGATTTTTTTTTTTCTGTTTCGAATAATTTACAACCCTGTTATATCTTTCTATATCCCAGATGGAAAACTGTCAATCAATATACCTTAATTTCTTTATTCTGTTTCTTTCCATGGTAGGCTGCAGAAATAGCAAGGGCTGCTGTATATGCAGCAATATAAAGAGAAGAAAATACAGCTAGGTTTATATTGTGTGCAACAGCATGAACTTACATTGGAGTCTCCAGGATGTTGCTGTGACTGGATTTCACCCTTATGTTTTTTGCTGGAGGAGACGGAAGGTAACAGACTGCTGCCATTAGGTCTACTGGAAGAAGTTAAATCATCGCTGGAGTATTTGTGTTTTGATGCATCCAAGAGGGGTGAGATGGGTGACCGAAGCATTTTCTCATTTTTATTTATTGGTATTGCCAAGCTGGAAATGGAAATTACAGCAATGGAGTGTCACAAAGATTCCTTTGAAAAGGGTAAATGTTTTATGTATTACCAATTTTATGAATTTAAAACCTGCTGGTAAGATCAACTCTACTGGTATTTGGAAACAAGTTTACGGTATTAGGATCAAAAGTTAATTTGCAAATTTGGGTTATGTTTCTCTTCTTTTCCTCTAGGGTAAATTATAATTCCAGAGTTAATAAAAAGTCTATGTAGTACCTGAAAAATATAGAGAGATAAATGGGTTGTTCCTGTCTCTTAAGAGAGAGTTGAAAAAGAAGATTAGCCTTTAAAGTGTAAGTTTAGGCTATTGAACTCTATTTCACAGTTACAGGTGACAATTTATAGGCCATGGCAATAAAACCGTGTGTAAACTAAGACAGGGAATGTGCTAGAAAATGACTGGGACATTTCTGTGTGTAAAGATCAGGCTTTGGCAGTGCAGTTTACACTAATTTGGTGCAGGCTCCGAGGACAAAGAAATATAGGCTATTGTAACAAAGAAAAGCATGCAAATGATGGAAAGAAAGAAGTGTGTACTGATGTATTCTCCAAAGAAGAAGGTTACACTACAGAAATAATTTGTGTCTTTCCATTCATTTTAGAGAAGCCACAACTAAGAAAGCTGAGCAGACAGCAACAGTGGCAATATGCTCAAAAAAGTTTACTAATACTAATCAATTTGAAGAACATATTTAACTGAAAATGTTAATGTAATGCACACAGTACAGTATAGGAATTTTTTGAGCGACAAGCCACATTGAGCCTAGAATTGCAATTAGTAGTGGGCAAAGTATTTTTTACCTAATATCTTTCCTTGCCATAGTCCCCTATTTCAGCCTTTTACCACTTTATTGGGACAATTCTCATTTCTTTGCAGAAATACTGTAAGACACTAAACACTTAATGTAACTGCAGAAGTGACCATGGTAGAAAATATACTTTATTTCACCATATCACTTTAGAGAACCGGGCTAATTAAATGTGCTCTTACCACACGTGTGTTCATTTATCCTGCAAGGCTTTAAAAACTGGAGGTTGGAGAAGCCATAGATCATAATTTAGAACCTTTTAGACCTTCATTGGTTCTATAATGTAGTATTTTTAAAGTGTGGCTTAAGTAATTTTGTTTTAATGAGCAACACTTTTGCTGAAAGTGAGAGTCAGGGTATGTAAATGGACAGTCACAGTCTTCTTGTAAGAAAAATAAAGTATTTAAATGTTAATTTGGTATGTGTAGGAATCTCTAGCTGATGTTGTAATTTTTCTTCCTCTTTTCAAATAGGAACCTTGTCCTATGTGGCAAAAAGCTGGGTTCATACATCATTAGTCTAAGGAAGAAAAGACTGAAAGGGGATTTCATACCATCCATTAAGTACCTGAAGGGTGGTCCACCCAAAGAGGATGGAGCTAGAGTGTTCTCAGTGGTGGCAGATGACAGAACAAGGAGCAACGATCTCAAGTTGTAGCAAGGGAAGTTTAGGCTAGATACTAGGAAAACATTTCTGACTAGAAGGGTAGTAAAACACTGGAACAGGTTACCCAAATTGGTTGGGGAATCCCCATCCTTGGAGGTTTTTAAGACCTGGCTAGACAAAACCTTGGCTGGGGTGGTCTAGTTGGGGATGGTCCTGCTTTGAGCAAGGGGTTGGACTAGATCAGAGGTTCCCAACCCCTGGGCCACAGCCTGGTACCAGGCCGTAAAGGGTTGGTTGCCGGTCTGCAGGAGGATTGGCTGCTGGACCGGAAGTCCGGAAGTGATGCCATACTGTGGAGCGGCAGTCAACCCTTTTCTATACTAAGTATACTTTATACTAAGTATAAAAAAGGGTTGGCTGCTGCTTTGCAGTATGCTGGTCACTTCCAGACTACAGTTTGCCGGTCCTCATTTTGCCAGTCCATGGTCATTTCTGGTCTGTGGACCGTTTTGTGGTCACTTCCGGTCCACAGTTTGCCAGTCCACGATCTAAAAAGTTTGGGAACCCCTGGACTAGATGACCTGGTAAGGTTGCATCCAACCTTAATTTTCTATGATTCCCAGGGACTAAGGCTAACATAACCAGAGGGTACTGCAGCCTCTTTGGCACTGCAACTACTTTAAGAAGGATTACCAAGAGGCTAGATGTTAGGGTGCAACTGGGGAGACTTAGGTTTGATTTCCCACTGCGCTGCAGACTTTATACGTGACCTTAGGCAAACTGCTTAGGGTATATCCACACTGCAGACTTCAGCACTGCAGACACCCAAAGTACAAAAAACAGTGTAGCTGCAGCAACACAGGGTAATTTGTTCATGCTGCTGAAGCCAGACTTTTCTTAATGCCCAAGCTAGCACATTTAGAGGCAGTTTGAGTATCACTATACTAAGCAGTAGTCTCCAGGATTCACATATCCTTGGTCAGTCTGTGCCATAATTTCCCACCTGTAAATTGGAAATATTAGCCCTTCTCTACCTCACATTATGAAGTGCTATGGTAATGGGAGTTATATAATACCAGAGGACTGGAGGGTAATATAAAGGTGGGGGACCATGGGAGAACTAGAGGGAAGAAAGGAAATTTTATGAACTTATGTGTTGCCTTTTCACTATACAATTGCTAATCTGAATGCATTTGATGTGAAGCACATGGGGTGTGTCCCCAAGGGCACACGTGTGGTCCGTGGCACTGCAAATCACATGCGCCGCATATGCAGGCATTTTCTGCGTTGCTAATTTGTAGCATGGTGGGTATTTTTGACAGTGGGAGATCCTGGTATAAAAAAACCATGCCAGAAAAAGCAGGGCAGTGCATGTGGCTGCAGCATGCGGCGCCTGAAACTGGATCTGAGTGCTCCTCTGCACACCCGGATCACTGCTGCTGGAGCCTGGGAGGCCCCCAGGACCTCAGGTGCTGGTCTCTGCCTCCCTTACCTCACCCAGGGCAACTTGCCGTGCACCAGATGCACGTGCAGGGGCGTTTCGCAGGGACAACTAGCTGCGGTACAAATACATGCTGCTGCTAATTGTCCCTGGGGAACGCATGTTCCCACTCACGGCGGTGTGCCTAGTGTGTTTTTATTTCTTGGAACTGTGAAATAAACCCTACAGCATAACTAGCTCAATCACTTCCATGCATGTCCGATTATGATAATCACTTGCTCCTTGAGAATGAACGTGCTGTGAAACATGACATTTTGGTAACAGGAATGGTATGCCTACATCCAGTGAACCACAATAAAATACGCTATTACACGTATTATTTTCACTTTGTGTCACATATGTAACTTATATGAAAAAAACAAGTTGAATGCAGATTCTTGAACATACAAAAGATATTTGAGTTTCTTTCTCATGTTTTTTCCAATATGATGATTTTTTCAGCTCCCATAGTGCTGAATAAAGACTTTTTATAAATGAATTCAATACAAGTTAACGATTATTTTGAATTAGAAGTTATATAAATTACAAAGTACTTCAGTGTAGTGCACCCACACTATAAAACACAATAGAAAAAGATTTGTTAGGTTTATCAATGAGCCACATATACTAAGCTTTGTGCAACTGAACTGTAAGATGCATGACTAAAATTGGTTGCTGGAAACTGCTCAAGATTGATATGACAGATTGATAGTATCGCTGCTTGTCCAAATCTATGCAAAGAAATAGGTGGATTTTCATCATTCGTATTGTGTCTTGAGTCTTTTGGAAATTTAGCTATTTTTATCACCATACGGAGTTGTGTGTCCTGAGCAGTTATACAAAATACACCGCTTGTAATCTTTAAAGTATCCTGTCCAGAATATACTTGGGAGTGGGGTTCCCTGGGCATCAACTCAAATACTTTCTTTACCTTTTCCTTTGATCATATAGATTATTACATTTAAATTCAGATATAAACAAGTTTTAAATTTGAACCCCTGACACTGTAGTGGAGAAAAAGAGGTCAAAGGATTGTAGTCTATTTGAACAAATGCCCAGAACATAATACCTAAGAATATAGTAATGTCTCAGCTGATAATACCATTGTTGCTGTAATTATTCGATCCAGAATCTTAGCACTTGAACTCACAGCTTTTTGTGTAATAGAACAAAAATATGTCAGGAGCCGTTACCTTGTTCATTAAACCAAAAGGAGAACAAACACATTCAGATAATTTTACACATAACATGATAATTAAAAAAGTCTGTCCCATTAAATGCCAAATTATACACTGCATTAAGATTCAATTAGTTGTACAGACTGAGTTTTAAATGATAAGGAGAATGCATACCTATTTTCATTTATGTTGCAATGATTTGCTGTTGAAATACTTTGGGCAGAGGCAATTAATCGTGAAGAACAGTCTCGCTCTAAATGAGGCTTCTTGCTCTCCCTGTGCTCCTCTTCATTTTCACACTGAATGAAGAGAAAAACGATCATCTATTGCATTTGATAGATGACACTAGATCTGTCTACACAACCACAGGATGCTGGGTATTACAGAAGATGAAGGTCTGTATTTGGGTGTACCCTATTTTACTGTACTTATTTATTCTACAAACTATACACCTTACAGACTTCTAACAAGATAGCTAGCTGTGCTAGTATGAAGTCAGACAGAAGCCTTGCTTGTGAAAGCCTATGCACCTCAGATTCAGTTATTCTACAGTATGCATTTCTACCCTGTCTTCTGCTTTAACAAGATCATCCCAAAAGACTTAAAATCGAAAGAGACAACATTCAAAAGCATAGGAAAGAGAATACAATTTAAAAAAATGTTTTGGGCATTTTATGCCCCCTTTTTGCTTATTTCTTCTACATTTTTCTTTTACTCCTCCTTAAATCTTACACCTGTTCACTATATTTTTCCTGTCTCTCTCTCATTGTTCCCTGAATCCTTTGTTCCCCACTGTTCCTCTTTGTGTTCATCCTAAATTCCCCAAGCTTTAATCTCTTTCTTTGTGTTCCCACAACCCCCTTCAAGTTCTTACTGGTTTCCTGACTTGCCTGTCTCTTCAGTGTGCCATGTATCCTTTATGTCTCTAGTTTATCCATAATTTGGAAGGCACCGTATTGCCCATAATAGTAAAGTTTGTTTCTTCTTTTGCCTTTGTATCATCATCATCATTTTATATGTATTTGTATTATGTAAATGAAATCTATTTATGCAGTGCACCTTAAGAATTTACGAGGCTGACACTGATCTGTAATGAGCAAAGTCCTGGTTCCTTGGGTATGTAGCCTCACACCACGTTTTCTGTCACTCCTTGAGCATTCCTGGTTTCTCACCCATCACTGTGCACTGTACAATTGCTACATTGCATACTAAGTCCTGGCCAATGTACACAGACAAATTCCTTTGAAATTATGGCAGCGTTGGAGTGATGTTGCAGCCATGGTGATTTGGGAATATGTGAGAGAGAAGGAATTATTTGGGTGATATCTTTTATTGGACCAACTGCATATAATTTTGAAATTATGAACACTGGGAGGAGCTCTCTGTCATGACCATACTGTGTTTAGAAAAAGCCCTGGGCAGTATATGCATAGGCAGAACTAGGTGGGGGGCAAGTAGGGCAGCAGTTTTGAGCATTGACTTAGAGGGGGTTCCAGTATGGTCCTCTTCCCTAGAAGTTTTTGCCAGGCAAGCACAGCCCCAAGCCCAGTTGTTTATCTGAGGGCCTGTGGGGTGGAAGGAAACACCCACCATCCAGGAGGCTTAGCTATAAGAGGCACATCCCTGTGTCCTGCAGAGGTGTGGGGAGCAGCAGGAGCTGGGACAGCCAGGCAGGTAACATTGCTGCCCAAGTGAGGAGAGCTGAGGCAGGTAAGACTCCTCTCCCTCCCCTACCTTTCCTCCTGCCCCACTGCCAAATGTTCAGCACATTTCCCCCCTCCGTCCCCTGCCCCAGGCACTTGATATGCCTCTGCTCCAGGGTTCAGATTGACGTTGACATAAAGGCACAGTGAAGCTGCTTTAACTGATGCCTCTCTGCAGCAAAACGAATATATATGGGGCTTAGTTGGGGGCAGAAAGGCAGAAGGAAGAGCAGTTATTTTGCAAGTTGGAGGTGACTAGAGAACTGCCATGCTCTCACCCCACCCCAACTGGATAGCAGTAGTGCATGTAGAGCAAGTCTGGGGCTAAATTATGACCTCAGTTATATAGGTACAATGCCCTTGGTTAAAGAGGTTGCACTAGTGTAACAGAGGGAAGTTGTAGACCCCAAATGGATCATGAACTCACAAGCTCCCATAAAAGAAGTTTCTCAGTGGAGTCACAGGGATATCTGGGCTGGGAGAGCTTTATCTGCATCTCGAGAGGGACATAGTGGCTTGCTCTCCTGCCTTTCCTCCATATAAAGAGCTAATGAAACATGAAATTGACTTTGACTAGACGACACCCACTCCACTTTAAGACAGAAGCATCACCTCCAGATGTTTAAATTCTGGGAGCCAAAAATAGCAAAGGTGCCATTTTTATGAGGCAGGAAAGAGACAGAGTGCCAACAGAAAATGCTGTCATATGAGGCCCTGACTCTAGGGTAATACTGCTTTAGACTATTCCCCCCCTAGCGCTTGAATGATTGTTTGGGTCAAAAACACACACACAGTTGAGGAGTGAGAGGTCATGAAACATCACTTCAAAATTTCAATTCAAATGGGATATTACTATTAAATGCAGGATACATATATAAAGTGCATTGTTTGGCTAATTGATATATCAGAGACAAGGCAGAAAAACATAATAAACACTATGCAATTTCCCCCTGAAGATCCTACGTAATCTGAAAAAACCCAGAAAGCCTACCTTGCGTTTCCTTCTAGATTTTGGTAAAACCTTTTCCGCTGGTGGGTCAATACTATTATTCTGGTGAACGCTGGCTACTTCTTTTGCTCCAGTGCTCATTGCCAATGGCTCCTCAGGTGAACGCTCTGGAATCCTGGACAAAAGAGTCAAATCAATTTTGACCCACAGTGATTTTACCTCATCACTGTCTTTCAGAGGAGACAGGAGCTCATTCCTACCAAAAGGAACCAGGGTGTAAAATTGTTCCTCCAGCTCCTTTGCTATTTCATTACTAGTCCTGGCATTAATGGAGCCAAAGGCACTGCAGCTGCTGTTGGTTTTGTTGGAGTTACTGCTCCCAGAGTCCTTCAACCTCTGGTCATTTCCAGCTGAAGCAGAGGCCGCAGTCTGAGGTTTAGGGAGAGAATATTCCTCTTGTTCGGATTCTGAATCTGAATCGGAGGAAGAGGAGGATGATGAAGACTCTGTCTCAATAAATTCCCTGGATTTAGGTGCTGTTTTGCTTGGCCCCCGGGTACGTCTCTTTTCGCATGTAGTGACAGAGCGGGGCTCTTTCCTGTGCCCAGTTCTGTTGCTGCAGGGCCTGGCTTTAGGTTGCTCACAGATGTTATTTTCTAAAAAGCCTTGGCTCAGGGTGAGATCCTCAGATGTATGGCAGTTCAAAGCGTCTCCACCAGAGGTCCTCTCTGTCCTTCTTGGCTGTTTTTTACAGACTGGCTTTCTCTGAGGACCGCTGTCTCCAGAAGCAGCAGCAACAGCAGCGGGAGGTGATTTCTGCTTCCCTCCTTTATTGCCTGGTGCTTTATTAGCAGTTCTAGGCCTCAGCTCCTCTTTGCTGGCATTCTTAATTTCTTTGTCTCTGAGGTCTGTTTGGCAAATATCTGGTAATTTCTCACACTCCTGTCCTTCCTCCTTTATCCTGCTGTAATACTGATTACTCTCCAGTCCATGGTTATCATTTTGGCTAAGAATAGGCGTTTTGTGAGGATTAACTTTATTTAGCCATTTATCCAGTTGCCACTTGTTTGATGATGGTTGTTCAGGCTGAAAGCAAATCAAACAAAACAGTATTTAATAAAATTCCAGCTGCAAGGCATGACTTCACTGTCTGTGTCTTTATACTCTTGGTGCGCCTGGGCTTTCTACATGGTCAGAGTGCAAATAACGAAATTACAGGGATTGTATTTAAAAAAAAATCTGGCTCTGCTATTCTTATCACGCAACTAAAGGCTTTAGCTCCCAAATTAACCATTACTTGGTACTTTGGGATGCAAATGCAGCACCTCCAGCACACAGATGGAATCCAGGGGGAAAAAAGAGAAATGATGCAGAAGTCAGAGGTAGTTAAAGAGATATAGTACATTCTGTTGGCACGGCACATTTAAGTTTACTGTATTTATTGGGGTACCCAGTCATGAAGCTGAATCATAGTCGTCTGTTATTTATAGGAGCATTGATTTTAGGAACAGATATGAATCATGAATGTAGAGGCTGGGGGACACTGGGTGTGATGATATTTTCAGTTTGAATGAGGTTGGGAAGGAGGACAGCTACAGTGATTCATAATTCCTAAAGATGATTCATGCAGTGCTACTGGCACCAGCTTTACTGGGAAATGCTTCCAAGTTTCCAAATGAAAGAAAACATAACGCTGATAGAAAGACAGAAAGAAGAAAAGGGTAAAATTCAGGCTACAGAATGAACAAAAGGGCGGGGGGTGGAGAGGTGGGAAAGAGATATGTATTCTGTGCCTTGTAATACTGCATGAAAAATAAAAATGTTTATAGTGAATACAAGGGGAGCTTAATTGAATTATTGAGTTAACCTTATTGGTACTATTGGTCTTCTGTGGTATACAAACACAAGATCACCCAAACATTTTGTGTGGGGAGATACTGTCAGTTACTCATTTAACACATATTGAATATCAGTTAGTTTTTTTCCCCTGTGTTCCTGTCACAACATGATCAAGTTTTAAGAGAGCATCTAAAATATAATGGTGTTTGGACAGTGAAGAAGTGGGATAATTATGATTTCAAATGCAGCTATGGCTAAGACAATGCAATTTCACAATAATGTGCAAGTGCTTTCTAGTGCTTCTTGCAATCAGTAATTTGAATGAAATGAAATGAGTGGGTGTGGAACAAGACACTAAGGCATGATGGAGCAAAATAATACCTTCAGTTATATCCCTGAAGTCCCACTGGAGCTGAGGTTTGGATGTTGCCTCATTTATAAACCATGCTTTGGACTAGAGCTGGAAAAGGCCAAATTCTGACTCCACTGCAGTCAATGGTCACAATTCATAAAGACCACAATGGGACCCAAATTTGACTCTATGTCCTATTACACTTTACATGAGTAATTCTTGTGCATGTTATGAAACTGACACAATACAATCTTCAGCTAAGTGCTGCTCTCTATTTTGCTCAGGAAGAATGTGGCCTAAGGCGTCCTCTTAGTGAATCAGCCACTACCTCCTGAGTATATACTCAGTAGCCTCAAGTGCATGTTTTCAGAAACACCTCCTAGCTTCACAACAGACATCACAGATCCTCATATCATATTTCAAACTATGTGTCTTCTCTGACCTGTAAATTTTGAAAACATATGACCAACTTCTGTCCTGAGTTCTGCACAACCAAATCCATTGAATACTGGCTCCATGTTTTCCAAATTATGATTACTGTATTTACTTGAATACAAGATGAGGTGTCTTCCTCCATACAGAACAGGGGGAAAAAACCCTTGCCTTTTATTCACATATAAGGAAATCTCATCAAATACACTGTCTATCATTAAGCTGCTGCCAAATGCAGCATGTGACCAGTCATGGAAACCAACTATGATGTTATTTTAAATGCAGCCAGTGAGCACGACTATAAAACACATGACCCATATGGGGCAAACATGCTGTTGGGAACCTTTTTTATTTTTCTGTGTGGCCTTTAAAAACAACAGGCAGTTGCTCTTCCAGGAGAAAACTGGTATTAAGTCTGGAGGTACTACAATACCAGGCTGGTACTGAGAGGGCCAGAACCAGCCCTGATACCCTCCCCTTGGTGCCAAAAATTCTTGATCTTAGCCAAAAGATGGAAGATGCTGATGGGAACCTACCACAAAGATACAGTCCATCTGTATAAAATATATTATAGTGTGCATTGAGCACAGTCCTCCTCAGTGCTGACTTTTTTGCAAGTCATGGTAAGCCACCACACAGCATACATGTGAACTTCCTTTTCAATCCCACAGTTAAGCTGCATCTTTCTTTCCCATTTCCAATGATTCCTGTTTCTTCACCAGCCTTAAATGTCTGGCAAACATTACCAAATTGGGTCCCAAACAGTTTGCCCATAATCCTTCTGTTGGTCCCCCTCTCAGTCTGTCACTTATGATTAGTGTGGCTCTGCCCTCCATGAGATGGAGCTGTATAAAGCTGCCCAGTGTCTCATCTGCGTACACATTTTTGGAGCATCCCAGGACTTGTGACAAGAACACCCAGGTTCAGTCATAAGTGGGGGAACATGGATCCTTTGTTAGGGGGCGGTATTTGTAGTTCATACACACATAGTCAGCAGTACTGAGCTGTGGGGTCACCATGACTTGACATGCTATTGACTCTGCTGGGGTCCAACCCAGTGTACTATATGGTAAATCATGAGCCTTTTCACTTTGGACTAATATTATGCATAGTTTGTACTATATATAAATAGGCACAAAAGTTATACTTAAAAGTCTGTTTATGGAGTAGTTTCATGGTTTCATAGTTGGTAGGGTCGGAAGGGACCTGAGCAGATCATCAAGTCTGACCCCCTGCCATGGCAGGAAAAAGTACTGGGGTCAAACAACCCCAGCAAGGTGTTCATTTAGCCTCCTCTTAAAGACCTCCAGGGTAGGAGCCAGCACCATGCCTCTTGGAAGTTGGTTCCAGATCCTAGCCACCCTGACAGTGAAGTAGTGCCTCCTGATGTCTAGTCTGAATCTACCCCCTGCCAGCTTGTGACCGTTATTTCTAGTCACTCCTGGTAGTGCTTGGGGGAACAGGGACTCCCCCAGTGCCTGCTGGTCCCCTCTGACTAGTTTGTAAATGGCCACTAGATCCCCCCTTAGCCTTCTCTTGTGGAGGCTGAACAGGTTCAGGTCCCTTAGCCTCTCCTCGTAGGGCCTGCCCTGCTGCCCCCTGATCATATGAGTGGCCCTCC